AAAAAAGTACATTCTTTTGAATGCAATAAGTGGAGATAGGAACTTTATGCTTTACAGCTCGAATTATTCTTAAAGAAATTTCTTGATTATGCTGAAATTTTGCATTTATTTTTGTACTTATTTGATGTATTTATGCTTCTAAATTTGAAAGAAATTTTCTTTTTTCTGATAAAATGAATTACACTAATTAAAACGTTTGTACTAACTCAAACAGTAATAAAATAGAGAAGTTAGTGATTAAAAAAATAAGATTTTTTAGTAAAAATTTTAAAATATAAATACTAAATTTTTAGAAATAAATATTTTTGATAAAGTCAAAGTTCGATGATTTTTTATAATAATAAAAATTACAAAAAAAAATTAGTTTTGCTGTTTTTTTGTAGATTTAAATTTTCTATAAATATTTCATTGCAAAAGGAAATTTTTTCTTTCAAAAATTTAATTAATTGATAATTAGTGAAAATTAATTAATCAAAAAAAAAAAATTAAATTTACTGAAAATTATTAGTAATATTTTAAAAAGTATTGAACAATTAAAAAATATTTAAAAATTTTGACAAATATAAAACAAAAAAAGTTTTCTTATGTTTTGAACTTTTAAGTGAAATTGAAAATTGAAACCAAATTAAAAACTTTTTAAAAACGAACAATTTATTTTTATATCAAAAAATTTTTTTTGTTTTTTTAATATGAAATGTTTACAGATAAAAAATATCACAACAATAATTGATAATAAAAATTAATTTATAATAATTTTATAAATACCTAATGATTATTATATAAATAAATATTAATATATAATATAATAAATTTATAAATAATATTAAAGAATAATAAGAGTTATATTATTATTAAAACTTATTTTTCTATAAGGGTGATTCTATCAAAAAAGAACATATCACGCTTTCACGGCAATATGTTCTAAAATAATAAAATTGATTGAAGTTATTAAAAATTCTGCCAGCCGTACGATAAGATTTAACAATTTTCAATCGGATCACTAAAAATATAAAAAAAGGCCAAATAACTGAAATATTGAATAACATCTAATGTATTAATTGCCGTTATTTTTTCAATATACCATAATTTTTAACTAATTAAATTAATTTTTTATATTTTTTTAATTTTTTTTTTTTGGTATTATTTTGTATATAATAAAATATTATAATAAAAATATAATAAATAATTAATAATAAATAAAACAATAATAAAAAATGTAATAAAATATAATAAAACCTAATAATAAATAAAATAAAAAAACCAAAAATATAAAATTCAAAAATTAATTACAAAAAAAAATTAAAAATATTTTTAAAAAATATAAAAAATTAATTTAATTAGTTAAAAATTATGGTATATTGAAAAAATAACGGCAATTAATACTAGAAATTAAAATGATAAATAAAGTAAGTATATATAATAAGATATATAAATATTATTATTAAATTAACAAATGTTTAATACATTTAAAAAATTTTATTCATCTTTTCAATAAGTATTTTCATATTTTAAATAAATTTGATAAAATATAACAATAATAACATTGATTAATTAACAAATAAAATATAGAAAACACAAAATTTCTATTTAAAAGCATTTTGAAAAAGCCCGCCGTTTTTCAACTGTTTTTCAACTCATAAAAACAGTCGAGGGTTAAGAGCAAGATTTTTTTATTCTCTAATAGTTGGTCGAGTAGGTTCTCGGTTAGGGTCTTTGGTTAGTGTCTGTCGAACCCGGGTTCAATTCCCAGTCCCCTCAAATTTGTTTCGAAAATTTTCTCGTTAAGTTTCCAAATGAAAATAAACTGGACATAATTAATAATAATAAACGTCACAAGGATTTTCAAATTTAGAAAACAAATAAATTTTTTTTAAATTTAAAATATATTTTTTAAAAATTGCAGCAACCTTTCCAGAAGCTTGTTGAAATTCTCCTGCAATCTTACGTAGCAAGTTTACAGCAATCTTTCACGGCAAGCTTGCCGCAATCATTCTTAGTATGCTTGCAGCAATCTTGTAGCAATCTTTCATGGCAAGATTGCAGCAACCTTTCCTGGTCAGCTTACGGCTAGCTTGCCCTGGGTGGGACATTTCGCTAGCTCAGACAAGCTTGCCGCAAGTTTCCGTGCTATCTGGGATTATTTTTCTTGTGCGGTATTAAAGCTTGAAAAATAAGAAAAATTTTGATCTTTAAACCAATTTATTTGGTGTTGCAGAAAAAATTGAATTTTTTTCATTATTTATTATTGTATTTTTTAAAAAAAAACAATTGTTTTTACTTAAAAAGTGATTATTTTGAACCTTTATATTAATTAACTATAATAATTTCCGTATTCATTCATTCATTCCGTCTGTCCACACTTGAAGTTAGTCGTATTTTGTTCCTTTTGTTTTTCTAAAATTTTGACAATTCTTGATTTCGTAATATTTTATGGTTAACACGACGGATATTTTTATTTATCGCCATTAATTAAGTCATATACTAAGTGACAGTTTAAAGTAAAAAAAAAAAATTGTTCATTGTGTGCAGCACCAGTATATTTCCTACTTGGTATTTATAGAAAAAAAAGTTTCAATTATAATATAATTTTTATTATTATTTATAAATTTATTATATTATATATACATTTTTTTAAATATAATGATTATTACAGATAATTAGAACATTTTAACTTATAATTATTATTTATCTTTCATTATTTTTTCATTATTCATTATTATTTATTATATATTATTATTCACAAATTTATTATTATTAATTATTAAATTGTTATATTTTTTTATCTATAAACAATATAAAAATAGTTTGCTTTTTTAAAAAATTTTCAATTTGATTTTAATTTTTAATTTAAGTTTAAAGTTTAAAACATTACAAATTTTTTTTAGGTTTTATTTTTTCAAAATTTTTAAATATTTTTTAATTGCTTAATACTTTTTAAAATATAATTAATAATTTTCTGTTAATTTAAATTTCTTTTTGATTACATAATTTTTTAATATTTATTAATTATCAGTTAATTAAATTTTTTGAAAAAAAAACATAAATTTAAAATTTTTATTTGCAACGAAATATTTATAGAAAATACAAAAAAATATTTAACATAACTAATTTTTTGTAATTTGAAAGATTATAAAAAATTCATCGAACATTGACTTTATCAAAAATATTTATTTCTAAAATTTTAATATTTATATTTTAAAATTTTTACTTTAATTTATTTATTTATATAACATCAAACTCATTTTTTTCTGTGTATAAATAAATGATAACGTGAATATTAGAAATATACCTATTATTAATTTAATACTCCACTGATGCAGAATTATTATTATTATTATTATTATTTTAAAATAACCATTGCAATTAAAGTTGGACGCGCGCTTGCGCGCGTGTAATTTTGCTAGTAAATATTATAAAAAGAATGTTTCTAAAAAGGTTACTCCGAAAAGTGCTAAAAAACACATGGAATGGCACATATATATTTTTTTTTTACTTTCAACTATCACTTAGTATATTACTTAATTAATGACGATGAACAAACATATCAGTCTCGTTAACCATAAAATTTTAGAAAAACAAAAGGAACAGAAAAACGACTTCAATTATGCCAAATATCTGTTAAAATTCATACATTCGGCGGCATATTTACAAAAAAAAAATTCTGCTCTTTAAATAACAAAATTATGCTTCTTTCTGTTAATTTATTTTAACAAAGTTTCTATTAGAAAATACTTTTTATATGGTTTTTAGACATTTTATAATAATTAAAAACTAGCGACGTATTCCTCGCTCGCTCGGGCCAAGTTTAACCATATAATACGTACTGAATTTATAAAATTTCGTTACGTTTTTACGTTTAATGTAACGGTTAAGAAATAAATATAAAACTGTAAAAAATATTTACAACCGATGTTTGTTTTTATATAATAATAACATAATAATAGATATTTTATTATTATATTATATTATAAATATGCTGTTATAATTTTTTGTCTGCCTTTGTTTGTTTATTAAAAATATTTACATTAAATAAAAATATGATTTGTGATATTAATTAATTTTTTCAAATAATATGTTACTTGAAAGGCGCTGCTAATTATTTGTAGCGCTGTCTTCTGAATTTTGGTATTGAAAATAATTAATTGTATTCCTTGCATGAAAACGAATCGATTAGTATATATATAAAGTTTACATTTGAGGTAAATTTAATAAATTAATGAAAGTTAAAAAATAAAAAATTCACATTTTAGCTGAAAATTTTTGTATTTATTTAAATTCAAGTTTAAATATAAAATAATAGTGTTCCTTGCATTGAAACAAATTGATATAATTGTAAATAATTATAAATTATATATTATTTTTCATTAATTTTTAGAAATATCAGCTAAAATGTGAATTTTTGGTTTTTTAACTTCCATTAATTCTTTTAATTTAACTCAAATGTATATATTATTATATTATTTATGTATGTGTATTTGAATGAAGCAAATTTTTTTACTGATCGTAAAGAGGAAGCAAAATGTTCATGTAAAGAACATCTGAATTTACAACTTTTTTAAAAGTTATCGTTATTTCAAAATTTTTCAAATATCTTCTATTATAGTAAAATGTTTGTTTTGTATTTCAAAATTGTCCACGAAAACCGTGAAATTCGAATAAAAAACGTATCAGGATAAAAAACCAGTATTATGACGATTTTTCTGATAGATTTCCATGAAACCTATGAGACATAGCGATATAAAAAGAAACGGTTAAAAAATAGAGAAAAAAAAACAAAAATTCGAAAATTCCGCCAAAATTTCGGAATTATGATTTTAATATAATAGAAGATTTTTGAGGAAAATTATACTTTTATGCTTTAGCAGAAAGTTTCTATCACTAGCAATAAGTTACAGAAAAAAATGATTTTTTTCAGACGTAAGTTCTCTTTTAACTGTCCAAGTTACATATAAATATGAAATTTATATGCGTAAAACATTAAAACTGATAAATTTACTCACGCATTAGTTTTCCGTTTAGACAAACATGTACATACTGTGTGGCAATCTGGTAGTAATTTTTTTATTTGTTTAGGTTTAAAATGAGTGTTATCTGTATTTTTATGCGCATTTAAAGATGAAAGAAATAAACTCTGTCTATTTTATTACTTTTACGCACAGATAATTTTAATTTCATCAGTCCTTCTGCCAACAAACAAAAAAAAATATATATTACGATACTTTAAACACATTTATTTATCTATATTAAAATGAAAATACGAATAATAATATAATTGTTTAAGTATTTCTCATACCTTGTATATATAGTAGACAACTTAACCTTGACGGACAAGTTGAATTTATGCATTTTTATATAAACATAGGAACTCCCATTAATGTTATTACAAGTTCTAGTTATAAGTATGTGTCAAAAAATTTTAAGACAACTTTAAGTATATAACTAATTCAGTACAGACACTTATGTATTTTTTTTTATAAACAATAAACATATACAAAAATTGTCAACTTCTAATTATTATTCTATTAATAAAGCTATTATTTATTACTTATATCATTAAACAAATTTAGAATATTAAAAACTTGCAAATATTTTATATTTATAATAATTGAATACATTTCATTAAAAGCATCGACATCTTCGTCACTTGACTAATAATAATAATATAGGGTTAGAGACGTAAAATTCTCGGTAATTGAAAGACTGGTAATATTCTCCAAAATAAAGGCCGAAGCATAATTGTCGGGCACTGTAACGCAACGCTAATGGAGGTTCTACAGGTGCAAAAGCCAAGTACAAGTGCAAGTCCAAATGCAAATCCCATGAGCGCAAGAGGACGGAAGACTGCACGGCTGAAGGCCTTTCTCCAATAGGAACCTAAACTTTTGCGTTGCGTGACTGACGCGTTGATTTTAGCATTGGTTGCCAATAGCAACCGACGCAATGCATACGCAACGCAAGAGTTTAGGATCCTATTGGAGAAAGGCCTTTCTGTCCTTGTCTTACGCACTTGCTATGAAAACACGTGAGTTAGAAAAAGACGAAAAATTTAAAGGCTTAAGCAAAATAGCTTCGCAAAAGACGTTCGCGGACGTAAACATGAGTTAGAAAAAGATAGAAATATATTCGTATCCTTTTTTACCTCATGCATATCTTTCGCGAAACTATTGTGAGTTGGCCTTAAGTATCCAGCCAAGGCTGATGTATTTGAAGTGTATGACAAGGACAAAATGTGAATTCACATTTCGGACGTTTTTCATAATTTAGTTAACCGTGCATGTCTTAATAAGGTTATTCAAGTTGGGTGGGGGAAAGCCAAAATGGATGCTTGCTGGTGCACAAACATCCGGCCTATCAGCCAATCAGCATTCACTCCCATGTGAAATTCACGGTACTTTCACATGGGAATGAATGCCGATTGGCTGATAGACCGGATGTTTGTGCACCAGCAAGCATTCATCTTGGTTTTCCCCCACCCAACTTGGATAACCTTATCTCAAATGCGGTAACCTTAATTTTTGTTTGTACTTGGATCATGCAACCGGTTACATTTATATATTCAACTAGTTTTGTTTGGTTACTTTATTGTAATTTGTATAACCTAATTTTTGGAAAATGTTACTTTCTAAACATTGTCAATTTAATTAACTTATTATGTGACTTGATATAAATATTATTTGACGTATTTAATAATTAATTAAAGACAATTAAAAATGTCGGTGAAAAGAAAATTGGATGTTCAAGTTCCTGCAGAGGAAAGTGATTTGATGTCAATTAGACCATTAGGAGCTGGTCAGGAAGTTGGTAGATCATGCATTGTATTGGATTTTAAAGGAAAAAAAATAATGTTAGATTGCGGTATTCATCCAGGTCTAACAGGAATGGATGCTTTACCATTCGTTGATTTAATTGAAGCTGATGAAATAGATTTATTGTTAATTTCACATTTTCATCTTGATCACTGTGGAGCATTACCATGGTTTTTACAAAAGACCAGTTTCAAAGGCCGTTGTTTTATGACCCATGCTACCAAGGCAATTTACAGGTGGTTATTGTCAGATTATATTAAGGTTAGTATATTTTTAATTTTTATTATTGCTTAATTTACGGCCTCGGATTACCCTACTTTTTCCGACTTTTTTCTTATGTTGAAAAAAGTAGTATTTTTATCGACTTTTTTTTACATTTTAAAACAAATTACTTTTTTTAGTATACAATACTGATCCTCAATTATTTTTTATTTCAATTATTAAACAAACTAGCAAAATTAAACGCGCGCCAAATTGAGTATTTAATTGTTTGTTATAAAGAAATTAAAGACTAATATTATCAATAATAATTTAATTTATTAGAATATTATTACATATTAATTGATAATAATGAAAATTATATGTTTACAGGCCTCGGATTATACGACTTTTTCCGACTTTTTTCAAAAATACGACTTTTATCGACTTATTTAAATAAAATGCGACATTTTTTTTTACATTTGAAAAAAAATGTAAATAAAATACCTTTTGTTAGTATAAAATGTAGATCTTCTTCAGATCTTCTTCAATTCAATTATTTAACAAATTTTGAACTAAAATGATTCTTCACTAAATTAATTATTTTTAATAATTTTAATGAAATACATCACAAATTCAATTATATCAAAATTATTTTTCAATTAAATTTTTTATGAAATTTAACAATTGTTTATAATTTAAAAAAAAATATCACAATAAAATTGAATTATTTTTTAAAAATTTCAATTCAAAATAAATTAAAATTCAATTATTACCCAAAATTTTATTTCAAAATCAATTAAAGATCCAATAATTATCCAAAATTTTCAATTTAAAATTTAATTATTTACCAAGTTTTCAATTTAAAATGAAATAAAATTCAATTATTTTCTAAAATTTCTATTCAAAATTAATTATCTAAATTTTCAATCAAAAATTAACTTAAATTAAATTATTATCCAAAATTTCAATTAAAATTCAATTATTTCCCAAAATTTTCAATTCAAAACCAATTAAAATTCAATTATTTTGAAAAATTTTAATTGAAATTAAATTATTTAAAAATTTTAAATCAACTAAAATTCAATTATTTTCAAAATTTTCGATTTAAAATTAATTATTTTCCAAATTTTCAATTCAAAATCAATTATTTTCCAAATTTCAATTCAAAATCAATTATTTTCCAAAATTTCAATTTCAATTATTTTTTAATGATTTTTATATTTTTTGAAAAGTCAATTATTTGAAAGCATTTTTCAATTTTTAAAAACAGGTTTGAAATTCAATTTTTGTCTGTAATTTCTAATAAATTCTTCAGTAACAAAAATAACAGAAATAACCGAAAATTTGAAACAAAAATCTCTTAAAGTTAAATTATGTACTTTCAAAAATTTGAATTGTAAATTTTTCAAAATTAGGCAAAAATTCAATTATTTTCCATAATTTCCATTTAAATCTATTAAAAATTAAATTATTTACAAAAAAATTTAGTTGAATTTAGCTAAAATTTTAATTTTAATGCGAATTTGTAAAAAACGGTAAAAATTAAATTTTCAAAAATTTTAGTTCAAATGCCATAAATTAAATTATTTCTAAAAAATTTTTTGTCGGTCAGAAATACCATTATTTTCAAAAAATTCAATTATTTTTCAAAATTATAATTATAATTCGTCAAAAAATTAAAAAATAAAATTTAATGAAAATCAAGCAAGAAAAATATTTTCCAAATTTTCAATAAAAATATCAATTCAATAATTGTTTAAAATTTTTAAAAATTGCCATTCTAAATCATTTAAAATTGAATTATTTTCAAAAATTTCAATTTAAAACCTAAAATTTATTTATTTAAAAAATTTTTCATCTAATTTCTTTTAAATTCAATTCTGTAAAATTTAATTATTTCCTAAAATTTAACAAAATCTTTTGAAATTCAATTATTTAAAAAATTTTCAAATAAAAACTTTAACTTTGAATTGTTGCCAAAAATTAGAAAATAAAAACTACAGCAATTTGCATAAAATATATTTCGAATTTAAAATCTTTTTTAATTAATCTTATACCTATAAGTTATTGTGTTTTTTCTTTTAATAATGATTGTGTTTATGTATGTAAATTAAGGTTCAGTTGAAATAAACTTCTTTTGAAGTTTAAAAAATCTTTAGCAATTTAATTATTTAAAAAAAAGAAGATTTTAAAAATCTGCAAAACTTAATTGTCCGAAATTTGTTTGATCATTAAAACTAAAAATTGTGACAAAACTTTTAATTTGAATAAATTGCTTAAATACGACTTCAAAGAATTAAAAAAAAATTGAACTTTAAGAATATTTTTTAGTAATTTATTCTTCTTAATTAAAATTTTGAAAATTTGTCTTAGTTTGAATCTGAAATATTCGAAAAAAAATTTTCTTGGTAATATTCTTATTAAGGAATTAATATAATGAAATTAATATCTAGTAACATTAGTTATTTAAAGTAAAATATTTATTAACTAATTAAAAATTAAAATAAAAAAATTGACTTTTTCGACTTTTTTGCATCTTAAAGTCGATCCGAGGTCTGATTTTGCGTTTAAAAAAAAATCGGTTGACTACTTTGCCATTATCTTCAGATGTAGTTGACGAATTTCAATTTTATTTAAAACAAATTAAAGGTAATTCAATTTTTTATAAAAAAGTATTTCTGGGTTGCCATGAGTCAGGGAAATCATAGAAAAGTCGGTGAAAGTGAGATTGGTCAGGGAAATCAAGAAATTTTATGAAAAGTACTGGAAAAATATGAAATTTCAAAATTGGAAAATGTTTTAAATAATTGAATTTTCGAAAATCTTGATTAAAATTAAATTATTCAACAATTTCAATTTTAGATAGAAAATTTAATAATTGTATTTTAGAAGAGTTCGAGTTAAAATTTTTTGGAAAGAATAATTGAATTTCAGGAGGTTATTGATTGAAACTTTCATTTCAAATTTGTTAAATTTTTTACAAATATTTAGTTAGACAGTAATTGAATTTTAGTGAATTTTCAATTGAAAACTGTTTTAAATCATGTAATTTTCAAAGAATTTGTTTTAAATTATTGAAAATAATTGATTTTGCAAAAAATTCAAGTTAATATATTTTTTTAATAATTCAATTTTAAAAAATAAAAAAAGCCGTTTTTTATAGGGGATAATTTAATAAATATTTTTGTTTATATGCGAGTTCGTTCATGTAATAAATTTGATTTTTAAATTACAGGTTAGCAACATAGCAACGGAACAAATGTTATACACAGAGTCTGACTTGGAAGCAAGTATGGATAAAATAGAGACAATTAATTTTCACGAAGAAAAAGATATTTTTGGAGTAAAATTTTGGGCTTACAATGCGGGTCATGTACTGGGTGCTGCTATGTTTATGATTGAAATAGCTGGTGTAAAAATTCTTTACACTGGTGATTTTAGTCGTCAAGAAGATAGACATTTAATGGCTGCTGAAATTCCAAATGTTCATCCCGATGTTTTAATAACTGAATCAACATATGGAACGCACATTCATGAGAAACGTGAAGATCGTGAAGGAAGATTTACAAGTTTAGTGAGTGAAATTGTAACTCGCGGTGGTCGTTGTTTAATACCAGTATTTGCATTGGGCAGAGCACAAGAATTGCTCCTTATTTTAGACGAATATTGGAGTCAACATCCTGAATTACAGGAGATACCAATTTACTATGCTTCATCGCTTGCTAAAAAATGTATGGCAGTTTATCAAACCTATGTGAATGCAATGAATGACAAAATTCGCCGACAAATTGCAATAAACAATCCATTTGTATTTAAGCATATATCAAATTTAAAGGGTATTGATCATTTTGATGATATTGGTCCTTGTGTTGTAATGGCATCGCCTGGAATGATGCAAAGTGGATTATCGCGTGAATTATTTGAATCGTGGTGTACTGATTCAAAGAATGGTGTTATTATTGCTGGTTATTGTGTTGAGGGTACTTTAGCGAAAGCAATTCTTTCTGAACCTGAAGAAATAACCACAATGTCGGGACAAAAGTTACCACTGAAAATATCAGTTGATTATATATCATTTTCAGCGCATACGGATTATCAGCAAACATCTGAATTTGTACGTGCTTTAAAACCACCGCATGTTATATTAGTTCATGGTGAACAAAATGAAATGGGTCGATTAAAAGCAGCGCTTCAACGTGAATATGAAGACGATCCAAGTACAAATATGGAAATTCACAATCCAAGAAATACTGTCGCTGTGGAATTATATTTCAGAGGTGAAAAAACATCAAAAGTTATGGGAACTTTAGCTATGGATACACCAAAATCAGGACAAAAATTGTCGGGAGTTTTAGTTAAAAGAAACTTTAATTATCATATGTTAGCTCCGAGTGATTTATCAAAATATACCGATATGAGTATGAGTCAAGTTTTACAAAGACAAAGTATTCATTTTTCTGCTTCATTGCCATTACTTAGACATTTATTGGCACAAATATCTGGCAATTTAGAAATTATTGATGATAAAAGATTGCGTGTTTTTAAGAGTATTGACGTTAATGTTGAGGGAAAATTAGTAACACTGGAATGGATTGCAACGCCTGTTAATGATATGTACGCTGATTCGGTGCTTACTGCATTATTACAAACTGAAATGATGGAAACATTACCAAAAACATTACCTGCACCGACAAAAATGGATAGAATGCATTTTAAAGAATGTCTTATTGAATTATTACAAGAAATGTTTGGTGAAGATTCTGTACCGAAAATTTTTAAAGGCGAAAAACTCTATGTAACAGTTGATGGAAAGAAAGCACACATTGATCTCATTAATCTTGAAGTAACTAGCAAGGAAGATGAAACACTGCGACAAATTGTACAAACCGCAGTGACTAAATTACATAGATCCTTAGCTCCACCATCGGAGAAAGTGTAATTATTTTTTAATTTTTCTATTAAAAATAAAACCGTGTTTTTGTGAAATATTTCATCGTTTACAATAAATATTTAACGATTTTTTTTTAATTATGCATTTAATTAAACCTTTTTAAAGTGATGCAAAATTATCTGTTTCTTTGACTAATTTAATTTATTTTATATTTGAATATTTAATTTTTATAAAGATTTCAAACTATTACTGTCAGAAAATCAGAATAATTATTATTTGAAATACTGAGTTACTTCACTCAACTCCTAGAAAAGAGGATCATCTTTACTTTCGTAATTATTTTACAAGTCCTGATTTGATCATTCACTTCAAAAACAATCTTATAAGGGAAAAGAATAATTTGATGAAAAATCCTACAAGAGTTGGTAAACATTAAAAAAAAATTCAAGAATTTTAATGGCTAAATTACGTATTAAAATTACTAAAAAAATCTTACTTGAATTTTAAAGGGACTTTCTGGTTTAGAATTGACAAAAAAAAGACACGTTTTAAAACTTTTATTGTAAGAAAACAATTAAATAAATTGTAAAAATTCTCTTTGGACATTGTTGCACATTACGTAGAGAAAATTAAAAACATTTTTTTTAGTGAATTTAATTCAATTTCTTAGCTGTAGGTGACGTCTTCTAAAAAAATTATTGATTTTAATAATTATACTATCAATTACATCAGTTTTTATACATTTTAAACAGAATTTCAATCTCAACCTCGTGTTCCATAAATTTTTTGCGAATTTCGTGAAGCATTCGCATCGCCCTAGCGGATTGGTTCATGCGTATTTTGAGCGATTTCGATTAGAAATCGCTTAACTTCGCTTAGAGTGAAAATTTATCGATAAATTGTTTAAAAAAATGATATAAAAGTGAAAAATAAAGGTAAATTAGTGTTTATATATATATGATTTATGGAAAAATTGTGATATCTCTGGTGAATTGTATGCGATACGAATGCTCCACGAAATTCGCGGAAAATTCATGGAACACGAGGTTGAGATTGAAATTCTGTTTAAAATGTATAAAAATTGATGAAATTGATAGTATAATTATTAAAATCAATAAGTTTTATGCATTTTAAGATGATTATTGTTAAAAAATTCTAAAAATTTAATGTATTTATATTAATTTCAATCTATTACAGTTTATTATCAACATTTGTCGATAAAATCAATAGAGATTTATTTATTTATTTTTTTTTTTAATCAAAAGCAAATCTCTTATTAATTAAACGGTAAAATTGGTGAAAAAAATGAATTTTTTTATCAAAAAATTTTTTCAAACATATGGCTAAAGAAAGATTAATTTTTAAAGGAAATATTCATGAAAAAAATAATTATTTTATCAAGAAAATATGTCTAAAAAAAATTATTTTTTTTATCAAAAATATTTTGGTAAAAAAATTAAGTTTTAAAGGAATGAAATAATTAATTATTTCTAAAAAAAAATTGTTAATAATGAATTATTTTATCAAAAATATTGTTGAAAAAATTAATTTTTTTTATCAAAAATATTGGTGAATGAAATTAATTTTTTTTATCAAAAAAAGGTTACAGATATTAATTTTAAACAGAAATATTGGTAATATTTTTCATAAAAAATAAATTTTTGTCACCTATATTTTTAATAAAAAATATAAATTTTAAACAATATTTTTGATTATATAATAAATTTTTTTTCTTCAATATTTCCATTTTAAATTAAATCTTTTTAATAATATTTTTGATTAAAAAATTCATTTTTTTCACATATACTTTTTATGAAAATATTAATTTTTTTGATAAAATAATACATTTTTTTTACCAATATTTCCGTTTAATAAATAAGAGTTTAGCTTTTGATAAAAAAAATACAGAAAAAATTTTAAAAAATTAAAATCTATTGATTTTATCGACAAATGTTGATAATAAACTGTAATAGATTGAAATTAATAAATACATTAAATTTTTATAATTATATAACAATAATCATCTTAAAATGCATAAAACTTATTGATTTTAATAATTATACTATCAATTTCATCAATTTTTATACATTTTAAACAGAATTTCAATCTCAACCTCGTGTTCCATGAATTTTCCGCGAATTTCGTGGAGCATTCGTATCGCATACAATTCACCAGAGATATCACAATTTTTCCATAAATCATATTTATTTATTTATTTATTTACAAAAAAATTCATCCCGCAGTCCTGGGGGACCATAAATGGGATACAAAAATATTGCCAAGTGATCAGTAGGATAAAATGAATTGAAATATAATACAGTAGTATAAAGAATATAAAAATATAAGAAATTAAACATTTGAATATAACCAAGACGTTTACAATTTGCTCGAATAAATTATCATATTCAATATAAAGAATCGTTATAGTTTTGATTCACAAAATTGATCAATGTAATTATTGATGGCATTAGTAAATTGGCTAACAGAAGCGAAAAATAGATCCAAGTCAGGGTTCATTAGTCTATACATACGGTTTATATGATTACATGCAATGAATAACGGGTCTGAATGACCAATAGACAGTTTTGGTGGGGGTAAATAAAAAGGTTCAAAGTTACGAGACGCAATTCTAGAAGTTCTTAAATTAATATCATATAATAATTGAGGTGAATGTATTTGAGAGTTAAAAATTTTAAATATAAAAATTGTAGCTGCTAGAATTCGTTTTTCATATAAGGTTTGAAATTTAAATCTTTGACAAAGGCAAGTGTAATCAGAACCCTGTGGAGGATAACATCCGTCCTTTTTAAAAGCTAAATATTTTAAGAACCTTTTTTGAATTCTTTCCAGATCTTGCTCATATTTATCGAAATAAGGGTTGTAAATAGTAAAGGCATACATAATTTTAGAAAGAACTAAGGATTTAAATAATACACTTAGTGTTTTCTGATTATTAAAAAATCGCGTAGATCTGAAAAGGAAACCAAGAGATCTTGACGCTGATGCAACCACCTTGGTGATATGTTCAACAAAAGAAAGCTTAGAATCGAAAATGACGCCGAGATCACAAGTCGAAAAAACTCTATCTAGGTTAAAATCTTTGACTTTATACAAAATGTGTAGTGGATCATGTGACCTAGTAAAAGATAAGACATGACACTTTTTAGTATTGAGTGGTAGTAAATTTGTTTCAGACCATGAGATAATTTTATTTAAGTCATCTTGGAGTGTTAATGTATCTTGAGGACATGAAATAACCTTAAACAGTTTAACGACATCCGCAAAAAGTAAAATAAAAGATTCAATATCAGTAGATATATTATTGATATAGATGTTAAATAAAGGTGAACCAAATGACGAGCCCTGCGGTAGACCCGTTGTAGGGTAAAAAGATTTAGAGGAATATTGACCAATTGTAACACGGTGTGAACGGTATTGCAAATAATTTAAAATTAATAATCTAAGGTTAGTAGGTATGTCAAGTAAAAGTAATTTTGAGGTTAAAATTTTATGGTCGATAGTGTCAAAAGCTTTTGCAAAGTCCAAATAGATTACATCAACCTGTAAACCCTTTTGAAGAGCATCGTTAACAATGTGTGCAAACACAGACAAATTGGTTAATATTGAACGGTTACGAACGCATCCATGTTGCTGATTAATTATAATTGGAGATAAAGAGTGCTGGATAAATTCAATAATTGTACGCTTATATGTATATATAAATATAAACACTAATTTTCACTCTCAACGAAGTTAAGCGAAGTTTAGCGAAATCGCTCAAAATACGCTTGAACCAATCCGCCAGGGGCGTTTTTGTCCTTTTTTTAAACAAGGGTAAAACTTATTTGATTTAATCACTACCCTGCCGGAAGGGTGGTACTGGATTGGTACTGGGAAATTGGAACTGAGATCTCAGTACCAACTCAGTACTAATTTGGTGCATTTTGGTACTGAAATGGAACTGGGAAATTTACCTGCAAAAAGGGTCGAGTTACCGTTAATACCCTCATAAAAGTGAAAAGCGACTAGCTTTTTCAATATGTTTAAACTAAAACTTTATATTTATTTCAATATTATATTTGTTTTTCATGGATTTATATTATTTTCATACATTATTATGCATATGATATTTCCTTTGTCAGCTAAATTCAAAAATGATGTCCATTTTTTTATCAAACTTAAGGTATACGAGATAAATTATAACTTTTTTAAATGTAATTATTTTATGATAAATTTTAGATATTCATAATCTGGAAATATTAACGAATCTGAATATATATTTTTTAAAGTTGAGTTATTAAAATTACAAATTTTTTAAGCAATAAAACTCGGGTTAAAATTTTAATCCTTCAACAAAGGACCTAGGGGTCTATTGTTCAAGGAGGGATTGCAATATAATTTCCAAACTTAACAGAAATTTTCTACAAACTATTATGTTTTTTTTGCTGTTTTACACGTATATCGTGAAAGACGGTTTGTTGATCTTATATACCTTTAAAACTATTGTTAAAGTACTTTAAAAATGTCTTCTTATGGGTTATCAGGTAGTGGTACTGAAGTGGAACTCAAGCCAAGTCCAATTCAGTACCATTCCAGTACCACTCTTTCGGTAGGGTATTAAAAAATGTCAGAGGAAAAAAGTGTTTATTTTTAGTTGTACTTTTCGAAAAAAAAAATTGAAACAAATTTTTTTTGATAAATGCAAATTTTTAAAATTTTTTAAAATTCAAAATTTGGATAATTTTGTTGTTTTTTGACGAAATCATCTGGCCAACGAAATCAGGCGACATTTTGGTATATTATATTATATTATATTATATTATATTATATTATATTATATTATATATAAAATCTATTGTAAACTCATTTATTACAATAATCTGAATATTACAGGGAAAGATAGTTGAGTATGCCGTGAGCGTTACTGAGGTCCCATTCCCACTTTAATTGCATATATCTTAAAAACCGTCCATTTTTTGACTTTTTGTCACTTGACTTTTTTGTTCAGAATGACTTAAACTAAAAAATATCAAAAGCAGAGAAAAATTCACCGGACCCCCATTTCCCATGTATCCGGTGCGGGGTTCTTTTGGCTACAGGCAGACATTTTTTTAAGAGCATTTGAACCTTCGTGACGTCACAAATCATGGCGCATGACACGCAAACTTCTCAGGTATGTGAAAAGCACAATTTTGAATATTTTTTAAAAAAACCTTTTGGAAAATATTCAGAATAACACAGACTCTGTCTGTTATGTGCGAAAAATTCAAAATTTTGCGTTTAAAACGTTTTTTAAACAATGCCTACATATAAGCAATTCGTGTATTTTTCCTTACTTGTGACAACCAACTTAAAGATTGTTTAAAAAACGTTTTATACGCAAAATTTTGAATTTTTCGCACATAACAGACATAGTCTATGTTTCTCTGAACATTTTCCAAAAGGTTTTTTTAAAAAATATTCAAAATTGTGCTTTTCACATACCTGAGAAGTTTGCGTGTCATGCGCCATAATTTGTGACCTTAACATTGTTTAAGAAACGTTTTAAACGCAAAATTTTGAATTTTCAGCACATAACAGACAGAGTCTATGTTATTCTGAACATTTTCCAAAAGGTTTTTTTAAAAAATATTCAAAATTGTGCTTTTCACATACCTGAGAAGTTTCCGTGTCATGCGCCATGATTTGTGACGTCACGAAGGTTCAAATGCTCTTAAGACCCATTTTTTCGGCATCAGAAAGTCTCAAAACGACGAGATTCACTCATTTAAAAAAAATTGCCGTTTTATTAGAATGCTTTTGTTTGAAATTGGTTTGAAGGTCATAGTCGGTCTGTCATCGCATAACATATGTGGGTGATTCTCCGCGTAGCGCACAACTTGCTTTTTTTCATGTTGTGAAAGAAAAATCACAAATGATGTTCACATAATATTTCGATTCCAATGTAAAAAGGTAATTTCTGTAATTACATAGCTCCAGTAAGTTTACTATAACTTACCAAATAAATTTCTATAAATTACCGTATAAATTTCCATAAATTACCACATAAATTTCTATAAATTACCAAAATAAAATTTTTAATTGTCGTTCGCGCTATATATATTTCTGTGAATTACCCCAAAAATTTCCATAAACATTTTAAATCAAATTTCAACTATTTTATAGAATTCAAAAAGCAAAGAATCTTTTTTTAATTTGTTTAAAAAAATTAAAAAATTATAAAAAAATTTTCCGGCCCACCATGGATATTTACTTCTTGACACTTTATCTTCAAAAATATGTATTGATATTTATCATTTCGATAAAAAAATATTTTTAAAATTTCAGACACCAAATCGTGCGCTACGCGGAGAATCAAAAAATTATTGAAATTTTTAGAAAATTAAAGAATTTTATCCTACAAAATTTATAGATATTTCTAGAAATTTATAGTATTTTCTAGAAATTTATACAACTTTCTATAAATTTATAAAACCTTCTTAGAAATTTATACAATTTTCTAGAAATTAATAAAATTTTCTAGAAATTTATAGTATTTTCTAAAAATTTATAGTATTTGCTAGAAATTTATAGAACTTTCTAGAAATTTGAAAAAAATTAAAGATTTTCCTAGAAATTTATAGAAATTTTTAGAAAATTAAAGAATTTTATACAAAATTTATAGAACTTTCTAAAAATTTTATAGCAGTTGCTAGAAATTTTCTATACTTGTTTTTAAAATGCTTTTATTTAAAGTTCTATCTTTTTAAAGTTATAAACTAAAAAATAATAAATAAAAATATAATGTAAAAAAATAATTTTTTTAAAAAATATAATGCTTTTAATATGGCATTCTAAAAAGTAATAAATAATACAGAAAAATTGTAAAACTGTTTTAAAGTTCATTAAAAGAAAAAACTTGAAAGAATTTATATTTGATAAAATTAGTTATATCATTCCAAATATTTTTTAAATTCAAATCCAATCAAAGAGATCATGACAGTTCTGAATATTTTTTCGAAATAGATTTTTTTAGGTTCAAGAAAAAATTAATTTGTACCTAAAACCATTCAAAGTTGAAATTTCACAATGGATGGATTCTTTCAACTTCAAATGCTTTTACAAATTTATTTTTTCTTGAACTTAAAAAAATCTATTTCAAAACATATTCAGAACTGTCATGATCTCTTTGATTGGATTTGAATTTAAAAAATATTTGTAATGATACAACTAATTTTGTCAAATATAAATTCTTTCAAGTTTTTTCTTTTAATGAACTTTAAAAAAGTTCTACAATTACTTTTTAGAACGCCAGATTAAAAGCATTATATTTTTTAAAATAATTATTTTTTTACATTATTTCTTGATTTAAAATATGGAGGAGTAACAAATAATTTAAAAATTAAATTAATGATTGCAGTTTATTCAAATTAATTATTAGCATTGAAAAGTCAATAATTTGACATTTTATAAGTTTTCTTATTACGAAATATTGAAATGTTATTAAAATAATTTTCATTAAATTTCTATGTATTAACAAAGTGTACAGAAAAATTGTTACCTTTATACGCTTAAAAACTACGTAGCTTACATATTTTTTTAACATCAAAATATACCTAATATTAGCCGCTTTTAAAACTGCATTTCTTCTCAGAGAAGACAATCTATTTTTTTCTTTATTCTCTTATAAAAATGACGATAAAAAATAAAAACAATACCTTAAAAATTGTCAAAACATATCTCTTTTACACATTTATACAAACACACATTGTCTCTTTTTTTATCTATATTTATTTATATTTCCTTTTTTTTTACTGATATTTCAAGTCAAAACTGAAATTGAAACGGAATATTTGTGTCATAAGATATTAAATTTTAGTATTTATTTGAAAAAAATTGAACAGTTGAGAAAAACATGTATGAATCTAAATCAAGTAAATGTTTCTGCTTTAATAAGCTAAATTTTTTGTGATTAGAAAACAAACCATCATAAATTGATATCAACTTCGTTTTTCTATTTTTTTAAATAAGTTTACCTTTTAATGGTAAAATTGTTTATTTGCTCATTTGTCTTAAAATTTGTACTATACTTATAAAATTTTAAAAATATTTCTATAGTTTAATGAAAATTTTTTTTCTTTTTTTAAAAGAAATGTATTATTAAAAACATTTTCGAATAATTAAACAGAAGATAGAGGGAGGAAAACATCTTAAATTTCTTACCACATTTAATTTGAACTAAAAAAATTACATATAAAATATAATTTGATTCCATAAAAAATGATGTTCCATGTTCCATTCTTCTCTTAATAAAATAACTTTTTCCTTGATTTATGAAAAATGCGGAAAAAAAATTATGATCAGTATCGCGAACAAAAGTAACTGCTTTTGTTTTCGAACGAAAAAAAATATACGACTACATATTCGTAGAATCAATGATATTATAAAATTACCTCATATTGTAGAAAATTTAGTTTATGAAATTGCCTGACATATTCTAAGGTAACTTTATAACTGATCATATATTTAATGTAATTACAGTAGACTCTTATAAACATGTTCAGAGTCGAATATTTTCTGTATTCAGTATTTGTTCGTTTCGTTATGTCACAGTTTGTGGGAATCTACTGTAATTAAGTAACAGTCTTATATATTTATATGTAAAAAATAGTTTTTGTATATTTGATGAGGGCTAAGGTCTTGGGCCGAAACATCGGCAAAATATATCTATTTTAATAATAAAAAAAACTGATAGGCCATTGATTTTCTACCTAACATTTTTACTTAATGTTATTTTTACTTTAGCGTGGGAAATTTTCATAAGCATTCAATTGCCATTGATTCGTGTTCTATGAATTTAATATTTTTCAGTTTAAAACAAAATTCTAAGTTCAAAAAAGTGAAAAAAATTTAAGTTAAAAGAAATTGCACATTTTCAAGAAACTAAAACATGAAAAATTAAAATTCTGCCTTAGAACATAATTTATTCAGCTTTTTTGAAATAGGAAACACAATTTAAAAAAAAAAAACAAATTTCAGTTCTATGTATTTAAAAAAGCGTTTAGTTTCTGGTGCGATTTTTTTTAATAAATTTTTTTCCATCTTTCAGAAGTTAGAATTCTTCTTCCAGGAGAAAGTTTTTATCAAATTAGAAAATTTTTTAATTTCTTGAAAATTAGTAATTTTTTAGAATTTAGAAATTTTGAATTTCCATTTTTACTAAAATTTTAAAAATTATTAACTTTTTTAGTCATTTTTTGAAAACTTAGAAAGAAATTAAATTCTTGAACGATAACAATGAAAATTTCCAAGCGGGATCTTTAGTTGTAAAAATGTTATATCGACGTTTTCATCCTACTTCTGTTTGCTCATTTTTAAAAATTAAAATAGATTCAAATAAAATTTTTATATTTATTAATATAAAAAACTAAAATAACTTTTTTTTGTTTATAGAATAAGAAAACGAAATTATATTTGTTTTGAAATAATAGTTAATTAGGACTAAATATTTGTGAACGATATGAAATTCTGATAATGTGAACCATCAGTCACTGTCATAAATTGGAAAATACAATTTTTCTTATTATAAAAAATATGTTATACTTAAATGCTACTAAAAAGTATATTATGGACTCCATATTTTTTTACCAGTCTAACACATTATGAAAATGTGCAATGCGAATATTCAATACTTTTTTAATTCTGAATAATTTAATAAACACGTAATATGATTACGTAATTACTGAAGCGAATAAGGCTTATAATTGGGAGTCATTTTCTTAATATCTAAATGTAAAGTGTAACGCACTTTTTTTTCTTTTTTTTTTTTTTTGCTGCATTTGCAATATTTGAACATTGCCATTTAATATTAATTATTAAGTGATTCTACAAATACACTAAAAGAGATTTTTTTTTATATACATGTATGTATATTCATGTATATGCGTATACAAAGGTACATATACATATTTACTACCGACGTAAAATATAAGAACACTTACAATTGCATCTACTAGAAAACGCTCTTGTCTTGATATTAAAAAAATTAAAATTAAAATTTTGTAAAAAAAACTATAACTAATTACCTAATTGTTGAATTTTTTTCACTCTTTTTAAATACATTCATTTTATTTAAAAATGTAAAAAAATAAAACTGAATTAATTACAAGAACAATTTTGTAAAATAAAAATTTTTAATTTGATTTTTAAATAATATTATTGTTAAACAAAAAATTAACTTATTGCTCTTCCATAGTGAAAAGAAATGAAAAATAGTTTGGGTTCAGTAATAAATAATTTACTGTTAAAAATAAATGTATTTTATTAATAATAAAATTCAATTACTTAAATTTTTTATGATATAATTTTTAAAATTAAATTATTCTATTAATTCGTTTAGTTCTGAATTATTATAAAATTTATTTTTTGAATTTAGTGAAAAACATTTTCGTTCTGAAAATTAATTTGAACCCTACTTTTTTGATTTCTTTTCTTCTCAGACTCTTGGTGTAGAAAATCGATACAGTACATTAAAAAAATGTCCCCTTAACTTACTGCATATACGTAACTAAGGATTGTAATATAATAATTGCAACACTGCTAGTAGATTTTTAAATTTTCCAAATTAATCAATTATATCTCCCAACAAATATTTCTTATACTTAAGTTTTTTTGTATATTTGAAAATTTAAATTCAATTGGTATTTCTTTCTCAAAGTCACATTTTTCTAATTGTAAGAATTTAGATTAATTTTTATTAAAATAAGTTGAAAAATATATTTTTACAAATTTAAAAAGTATAAAATATTTATTAATTTTCAAAATTGCTATTTTAGCATGGAAATTTTATTTTAAAAAAATATAATGAAGAAAATAATCTATAAGAATCACTTTAAAAATTTTTCTTTTGAAAAAAGTTTTAATCTTCTGAGAAGATATTTCATGTTTTTTTAAAAGACATGTACATTTTTTAGTAAATGCGAGAACAAGAAACCTTCTTAAAAGTTCTTGTCAATAGCAATAATGTACCTTTGTAATTGAGTACAAATAAAATTTAAGCATGTCATATTGTAAAGAATAAATATAACTAAGAACTATGAACTTGGAGGAGGTGTTGTTGGTGTTGACAATGAAGTTGGTGATACACTTGATATAACTGTCGTAGTTGTTGGTTGTTGTAGTGGCAAAAATGCTGAACCTAAACTTGGTTTTAACTGGAACGCAACACACGGTTTCGAGTAGTAATCAAGTTTGCTGAGGTCAACTAGAGGTCTCCTAAAAAAATTAAAACACTTTTTAATTTGAAAACCTACACATATAAAATTACAAAAAATTTACTGACATAGCCAGATAAATATTTAATTCGCAAATAATTGTTTTAACACAAAAATATTGATTTTGTATAAGGATCAACATTTTGAAAAAACGGGTTAGGGTAGTGGGAATAATCATATCTATATATATATATAAATTATTTTTTATCTTAATATCAAAATAATAATTTATATTTTTATAATTTTAAAATATATTAAAATATCAATATATATCTAATTAAGTAAATTTCTTGAATTTAAAATCCTTCAAAAGATGATAGCGATATTCTTGATAACAAAAATAGACAGCGTCATTAAAAATGATAGAGATATTCATAAAAACAAAAATAAGCGGAGATTCTGTTAATATGGCGTCATTAAAAATGATAGCGATATTCTTAAAAACAAAAATAAGCGGAGATTCTGTTAATATGTCGTCAATAAATATGATAGCGATATTATTAAAAACTAAAATAAGCGGAGATTCTGTTAATATGTCGTCATTAAAAATGATAGCGATATTCTTAAAAACTAAAATAAGCGGAGATTCTGTTAATATGTCGTCATTAAAAATGATAGCGATATTCTTAAAAACAAAAATAAGCGGAGATTCTGTTAATATGGCGTCATTAAAAATGATAGCGATATTCTTAAAAACAAAAATAAGCGGAGATTCTGATAATATGTCGTCATTAAATATGATAGCGATATTCTTAAAAACAAAAATAAGCGGAGATTCTGTTAATATGGCGAAATTAAAAATGATAGCGATATTCTTAAAAACAAAAATAAGCGGAGATTCTGTTAATATGGCGTCATTAAAAATGATAGCGATATTCTTAAAAACAAAAATAAGCGGAGATTCTGTTAATATGTCGTCATTAAATATGATAGCGATATTCTTAAAAACAAAAATAAGCGGAGATTCTGTTAATATGGCGTCATTAAAAATGATAGCGATATTCTTAAAAACAAAAATCAGCGGAGATTCTGTTAATATGTCGTCATTAAATATGATAGCGATATTCTTAAAAACAAAAATAAGCGGAGATTCTGTTATTATGGCGTCATTAAAAATGATAGCGATATTCTTAAAAACAAAAATCAGCGCACACTGATACCCTATGGAAAATCTCTGTACAAGAAAATGTACATGTTCAGTAGCTGTACTTTTACTGGTGCTGGTGCGGAAAATGTACATTGTCTTGCACCAGAATTCGGAACAAGTTCTTGTATCAGAAATATTAGAAATACAAGATCTTAAGCAAGATCTTGTACAAGAAATTTATTTAATACTTATATGTGACCTGGACAGTTAAAAGGGACCTTTTGTCCGAAAAAATCGATTTTTTATTGATTGGTGATTCTGATAGAGAAAATTTTTTTCTATCAGAATCACCAATGAATAAAAAATTAATTTTTTCGGACAAAAGGTCCCTTTTAACTGTCCAGGTCACATATATAAGAAAATGTATGTGTTCTTGTACATATTCCTGTGCTGGTTCATGTACATTTTCTTGCACCAAATTTGGTACATCTTCATTTATGTCTTCGTTTAGTAAAAAATAATAACTTCCAAGTCTACGCAATAGTTTTCTTAGGTCTTTACAGCTGCGCAATAATTTTCAACATGCATAAGTGAAGAGTTTTAATAATTATAAATTATTAAAACCGCAAATTATTTAAAATTTTTTTTCAAATGTACTTGTACATTGGTTTGACTAACTGGGTTGTAGAAGTGGCACCAGAAGTTAGGAACCTCCTCAAGAGTACCAATAGATCTCGGGTAAATATCGACGACTTTCTTGCCGTAATAAAGTTCTTCAAATGACATTGTTAAAAGCATGTGACAAAATACTGCAAGCAGAACGAGCAATCGTGTCTCTATTGCTTTAAGTAAAGACAACTCATCGGATGACTCTTGAGTCACATTTACAACTGGTTAAAAGTGTGTCAAAATTGATAAACGCATTGTTTCAACAGTGTCTAAATGAAAAATAATAATCTCCCAGTTGAAACGAGTTGTACGAAGAAGAGCATGGTATAACCTATTTAATGAACTGTATTGGAAAAAGATGACCGCAGTCGAAAGATCAATCTTAATTGGTATAACGGTTGCATATCGAACGGCCTTAACAGAGGTTTCATCGATAATAGCAGGCGTTCTCCTGATATGATTTGTAACGTCCTGCGTTATTTTCTTAGATTTTATGTTCTTTTTCCTTTTAATTTTTTGTAAATTTTGTATCAATTCTACATGGGAAAACATCTGTTTTATCTAAACTACGTCTCATATCTTTAGTGTAAATTGTTTGTCTTTCTTTTAGAACCGAAAACGAGACAAAGTACTTTCAGTAGTCTACACTTGTGGGATGCACTTTGAAATTTGGAAAATTCAATATACATAAGAATACAGCCTTTAAATCTTTCAGAAACTCTAAAGTGCATCCTTTCAGCTGTTGACTGCTGGGGTCTTTTTCCTATCTTATCACTTTCCCACGAAAGTCCAAGAGTTTCTACCATCAGAAATTACATCCGTTAGTCATAAAACTATAAAAGAATATTAGGTTAGAAAGTCTGTTTTATTTCTATTTTTTTAAATAGTATCTCACACGTCGAATTAGTGAACCCTAAATAATTTTAAATAATTCTTAAAAATATTTCTTTAATTTTTAGTTAAGTTTTAATATTAATGTTTGGAATTTCAAATTAATTTATTATTTATAATTATATATTAAAAATCCTAAAAAAATAAAATTAATTAAATCTTAATTAACAATTTAGATTAATATTGAAATTTTAAACATTATTATGAAAATAATTAATCATTTAGACTATAAGTAACAGAAATTTTATATGTCATAAAAAGTTTTTTAACTATTGTCATTTAATTATATATAATTAATTTTACTTAACTTTCTTTTATATATATATGGGGCATTCTTTCTTAACGGGAGACCCCTATCCCCCCAAAATTGGTTTTGACCTAGAGAGTTCTAATAGGGATCAAAATTTAGCTCTATAAGTCTACTTTTTAATGCAAAGTGGCCAAAAACGAAATTCAAGATGGCCGATTTAATATGGCCGAAAATGTGCTCAGAATTCATTAAATTCATTCTAATTTCGTGTGCCAAAGAAATTCTTTTTGACAGAAATTGTTCTATGAGGTCTTAAATTTTAGCTATTTATGTCTACTTTAAAATGCAAAATGAAATATTTGAAAATCCAAGATGGCGGCTCCAATATGGCGGATGATTTTTCAAAACTGCTTAAATTCACTTGAAATTTATTACTTGGGGGTTTTTTGGGTTGCTGATTACAAATTTGGTGCTACTTTTTAAAAATTCAAAATGGCGGATCCAATATGGCGGACAAATTTTTAAAAAAATTTATGAATTTTCTTAAAACTCATCATTTGGGGGTTTTTTGGATCTCTGATTACGAATCTGATGCTACTTTTTAGAAATTCAAAATGGCAGATCTAATATGGCGAACAAATTTTTAAAAAAACTTATGAATTTTCTTAAAACTCATCAATTGGGGGTTTTTTGGGTCGCTGATTACGAATCTGATGCTACTTTTCAAAAATTCAATATGGCGGATCCAATATGGCGAACAAATTAAAAAAAAATTTATGAATTTTCTTAAAACTCATCATTTGGGGCTTGTTTAGTTAAGACTATTTTCAGACCTACTAAGAATACCATAAAAATTTGAAACAATTTTTAATTAATATATTTTGTGTGACACATAACAAAACAGTCGTTTCCATATTTCGTTCGCTATCATACAAAGGTATCAATGACCGTTAACAGACGCAATTGCAAATGTAATAAAATATTTAGAATATACCAAAAAATATAATAAGTGCTAAATTTATAGTTTTATGTTTAGCTGAAGTGTTTTATAATCAACATTAAATTTCTTAAATAACTTTCGTTAATAGTTAAAATGGTCGTTTTTTAAAAATTAACATTTAAATTAAAGTAGGTCAATTAATTAATTATCCAGGAAATGTATTTAATTTAAATTTTTAAATAATTGCTGCATCTTAATAAATAAACTATTACTTGCATTATTAAGACTTTTAAAATTATTTACACACTTATTGTTTTTATGTTTACTTGTAACGTTTTGTCAATCATTATTTACTTTTAGCAATTATTTTAAGATTATTATTATTAAGTGTAAATAATTGTAAAAGATTTAATAAGTGCAAGTATAGGTTTATTTATTATTATTTTTACTACTAGTATTTATAAAATTAATTAAAATTCTTTTATAATTTATTAATTAAAATATTTTAATTTAAAAGTTGAGTTTTATGAAAAGTCCATTGTAACTGTCAACAATAAATATCCCTACTGAAAATTAATTTCAAAATAATTTATAAAAAGTAATGTTGATTAAAAAACCTTTTAACTAAATATAAGAACAATTAATTTGACACTTATAATTTTTTTATTATACTTTAAATATTTTATTATATTATAGCGTTTCATATAAGCCCGCTAATTTTTACCAATGAGGATTATAACGGCGCAAGCGCAGTTACGTCTGGTGATGGATTCAGGTGAGCCAATCAGCGCTTTATTACTTAAGGGTTTTTTGGGTTGCTGATTACAAATTTGGTGCTACTTTTTAAAAATTCAAAATGGCTGATCCAATATGGCGGACAAATTTTTAAAAAAATTTATGAATTTTCTTAAAACTCATCAATTGGGGGTTTTTTGGGTCGCTGATTACGAATCTGATGCTACTTTTCAAAAATTCAATATGGCGGATCCAATATGGCGAACAAATTTTAAAAAAAACTTATGAATTTTCTTAAAACTCATTATTTATTACTTGTTTCGTTCCAACCACTAAAGATAAGACTAGATAAAAGACCGGACAGTTAAGCCAAGACTAGTTTTGGTCCAACCACTAAAGATAAGACTAGATTAAAGACCGGACAGTTAA